GGACGCATTTATTAGATTAGATTAGAGTAGGCTTTCACAGCATCCATCACACCTCACTCAGGCCTGTTTTCAGAATCAAGTCTAAAGAATAGATGGCGGGAAATTACACAGGTAACCGGCGGGGCCGAATTCGCGCCTGGGTTTGCCGCTACATCTGGCTCAGATTCCACGCAGTGGGAGCGCCATAAAGACCACATTAAGAGCGACTCATCGCCACAACCTTTCTCTCAGTTATCCAATACACACGCATCTACACCTACTACTAATCGTTCCGCTACTGCACGTGAAGGTTCCAACTTGAACCCGAAGACACCTCGGGACGAGTATGTCGGTGAAGTTTTTACATCGTACATATTTTCCCGGTTACGGGCTTTTGTCTGAGGTAACGACCCGCATCACAATCGTCTGTCCTTGTCAATTTACACATCGTGGAGAGGCATTCCGCTTTCATTTATTATCCCTACCCTAGTGACTACTTAGTTTGTTGTTAGTTAAAAATAATCTGCTTCAGTCCGTAGTCTTCAGCCTAATCAGCCCACATGAGTACTGTGTAAAGTATTTTTTTTGAAAATTCACGATTGGTGTTTTTCCCGTTCCCCTTCTACAGGTCCCCGGCCGCGTATGTTACCTCTTCTGGGTGCATATCCTTGCTCCCTGGATCTTTGATCCCAATCAATCACCCACTATCAATGAAAAGAAGCAGAAGAAGCAGGAACGTCGGATGAAACGGATGCAGAACGCCGGCCGATAATTCTCTCTACTTTTGACTGCCAAGCCAGTCTAACTCTCCACCCAGGGCCTCCGTCTGTGATGCATCCTTTGTGCTCTCAACCATTTTTTCAGTAGAATTTTGGATCGCCTGCTCCCCACCACCCCATCACCCGTCTTGAAGCGTTCTCCAGTCGAACGCCTCCTGACCCGGGAAGCATTTGCTGGTGTGCCTCGTATGACTTACCACGGCTGCAGCTGCCTTTTGTTAATATACAGCCCGCGCCGTCGGTCACCATGCTACTTACTTGGACATTGTTATTGTGAAATTTATAGTCCCTATTTTGGCACTTTTCGGATTTGCTCTTATGTAGATAATGCAGGAGTGAGCGAGTTTATGTTTTGTCACGCGTTTACGTGAGGAGGGGTTGTTTGTAGGCCGGTCTGGTGAGAGGGAGTTTGGACTTTGCACTTTGCGAAGCATTTAACGTAACCTGGATCATTTAAAGGCACCTACACAGATCATCAGGCCTCACCTGGCGTGCTTCACGCCGTTTTTGCTCGTCCGGTTGCTACCTTGCACAGAGTTCAAGCAGACTTCCTCTCGCTCTCGTTGCCGACTTCTTGTAGCTGTCGTGGC